TGAATTATATAAATTACTTCAATTAGAACCGGTTGAATATTTATCTGACGAAATATGAGGTAAAATATTAAAAATTGGAAATATGGAAAAAAAAAGTATTCGGCCTACCGACCTGGATGTTTTATATCCAAAAACCAAAAATCTGTATTTATGTTCAATCTTTGTATTACAACATAATCTATTTGCAACGTTAACAACGATCCACCCGAACCACCCTTTATCGCCGCCAAACATTTATAACGTGTTAATTTCGAATGGATTGTTAATGTATAGTTATGTCAGGTCATGGCACACCAAGCATAATCTATTTGCAATATGGAGACCATCAACTCCTAAATGATCCAGCAAACCCTCACATATCGCCGCCGCATTTACAACGTGTTAATACCCCCGCCTCTCCACATCGGAACAAACACAAAGAGTACTGGACCCTGAACTACGTCGACACATTCACCCCCAGCTACAGGCTGCAACACAGCCTATGACAGTACACGTCTATAGCTCCATGCAAAGGTCTTGTGTATTCATTACCGATATTACCACGACGCCAGTGTTCATTATGAGCGCTTCATACCTACCCACGACATTATTAAAGGTCTCTTAACATAAAGGTGAAACCTCCATTGTCCAATCTGACCTAATTTCACGTCGCCTTTCGTCGTTCTGTCTAATCCGATGTTTCTCATTCACCGCTTCAGATTGTCCGTTTCTATCCATACAGGACGTTTGAAAAGGATTTTCTTTCTCAAGGTCACTTCAAGGTCACTGACCCGTGACAATGAAGTTTATGATGGTGCATGGCGCTGACAAAGGCTATGAAATGCTATAAACGAAAATTATGGCAATGAAAGCCACATGCAAGACTATTTAGGATAAATTAATATGTTCCGGGAGGTGGCATCACTGATACTGATGGTGTTTTCAATATCTCAACTCATTTTAATACACGTATATGTACATTACTGGTAGGTCATAAGTATACACACATGTTATATGGTGACTAAAATGAAACAATCAAGAAATGGTTGTTCGATGGTGATGTATTTGATACAGGTATCATAGTTGTGTTTTGGACCTTAAGTTTGCAGTGTTTCGGGGGCTGTTTAAGCTAAGTATATTTTTTCTAACCTTTGGAATTTTTTGGTCAAATTCAATTTTCAAGTGTATGTTTTCTTTTGCCCGTTAGTTTACATTCAGTGAAATCACGTTACTGCGGACCTGGCTTATCCGGTAACCCCTGTGTTAGGAATGTTAATCCGGATATTTGTTAATCCGGACTATTATACTACGGTACAGTCCGGGGTAACGGTACACCGTACAAGGGAAGCCCGTTTATCCGGACGGTGCTTTTCCCATTAAAATCAACCGGATTAACATACATCTGGCTTAATGAATCACTAGTACGTAGTAAAATCCCAATAATTATAAATGGAGGTTCCCAGAACTGTGTAATGACTTCATAGGTTACCATTACTACTCCAATATAATGCTTATGAATGGGTTATACGAATACTTACGTTACGTTAATATTTTGGACATTACCGGAAGTGCCTTTCAATCAAATTAAAAGACATAGGATACCATCAACATTCGGTAGAGGTAGTGAGTGAGTATGGTTTTAAGCCGCTTTTAGCAATATTCCAGCAATATCACGGCGGGGGACACCAGAAATGGGCTTCACACATTGTACCCATGTCGGGAATCGAACCCTGGTCTTCGGCGTGACGAGCGAGCGCGTTAACCACTAGGCTACCCGACCGCCCCCGTTAGAGGTAAAGAGAGAGACTTGATTATAAATTTGATTTTCAGTTACAAGTATATTTCCGTTGTGATAATGAACATTATGAATAGTTTATTGAGGAATGGCGAAGATCGGATAAACGAACTACGAGTTCGACACATCCGTAGTTGACAGTACCAAACATTCACTGCACAACTGTGCTACCACAGGCTGATTCGACCAGGAAATGACATAAATATAATTATTATATTTCATTTGTGATAAATGACACAAAACCTCTGTGGCTGCTTCTAAAATATGACGAGATAAGACATGGGTAGTTTTGCAGGGTACTATATGTACCAGCCACCGCGTTATAAACACCTGAAGCTGCACGTGCTGGTTGTAATTACAGGTGTAACCAATCCCCCCGTAAATGTAATGTCGAGGGGGACATGTGTCTGCATTAGTGAGAACTTGAGGTTCCTCGCTTACATCACCCCGTTATAACGATATACCATGCACCGAGCGGTGAGGTACAAGTAGCTAGTGGTAACAGCGTTCTCTCGCCACGCCCACCTTGTTGTATTCCCAACTGTGTCCCGCTATGTTAAGCTCCATTCTTGTTTGTTTGTTGTTTAACGCCGCAGTCAGAAATATTACAGCTATACGACGCCGGTTTGTAAATACTCGAGTCTTGCCAAGACAATCCAGTGATTGACATCATGAGCATCGATCCACGCAATTGGGATACGATAGCATGCATCAACCAAACCAGCAAGCCTGACCACCCGATCCCGTTAGTCGCCTCTTACGACAAGCATTGTCGCCTTTTACGGCAAGTAAACCCGGACCTTCACAAGTCAATACCGCCAAGGAGGCAGCCATTTGAGATTGTGACTGGGGGCCTGGGGGCTTTTGAATTTGTTTTGTTTTTATTAGAAAGTACTGATAAGATATAAGTTGACCTCAGGTTGTACCCAAAAATGCAAATTGTTTAATGTTAGCCCTGAGAAAAATATCGTTTTTTGTGTGGGTGGTTTATTTTGGTGTTATTCAAACCAAACCAAACCAAACAACAACAAAGCAATGAAAAATATGGGGACTAGAACCCGAGTCTGAACACGTTAACCACTCGGCTAACCTCCCTCTCCTAACTAGTTCTGTTAATCAGGTTATTTATTAAACTGCTGGTGCCTGTTTAGTAATTCATGTGTCTAAATAACAGAGGTCAAGAATCGCGATTAAACTGAAATTGTATTTATGTACAGTGAAACCTTGTTAGTGCGGACCCCGTTAATCCGAAAATCCCGCTTTGCGGAGACTTCTGTAAAGACCGTGTATATATTATACAAGACATTAATCAGCCCCGTTAATCCGGACATATGTAAATCCGGACATCTGTTAATCCGGATATATGTTAATCCGGACATCTGTTAATCCGGACATATGTAAATCCGGACATATGTAAATCCGGACACCTGTTAATCCGGACATCTGTTAATTCGGACATCTGTTAATCCGGTTGATTTCACTGAGAACAATACCGTCCGGATTACCGGGTTTGGACTATATATACACACAGGGTGTATTATAACTAAGTTTTAATTCCACGTGAGAACGAGTCGGCAACGAACACAATACACAGACGAAACATTTGAATAGGATTGGCTGCACATTGACAGTTATTCTTTTGACGTTCATACTGCTAATATGACAAATATAGCCGCCGAATAACGACACATGGTGTCGATATAAAGCAGAGGACTGTTATGAATATGTAATGTGTATTAAACACGACCATGGTAAGGGCGCTGTTGTGATGTACTCGGGCCCTAACCAGTGACAAACAATTGTGAGGCAGTGGGTGGAGTTGTAGATATACTGACTTCACGTTTCTCGTGTTATTATATGGGCAATAATTATAAGTTTAAATCATAATTTCTAGATTATGTAATTAATAACAAGTTGTCCCTACAAGAGACTGGAGTCCGTGTGTGTTCACATATCTAGACTTGCCTATTACGAGGATAGAATTACTACACATCAAAGGACTTTTCTTTCAGTACAGCCTTGGAGCAAGGCTATCTGGGCAACTGTCCAAGAGAAGTGTACTTTCTCTCATCAAAGGCTGTAAATATTGAATTATGTGTGTAGATGAATATGTGTGCCTTGTGTGTGTGGCTGTGTTCGAGAGAGAGAGAGAAGGGGGAAGAGAGGGGAGATAAAGAGAAGAGAAGAAAGGATTCGAAAGAGAGAAGAACAAATGAAAATGATAAAAGAAGAGAGATACAGTAAACTACGGTTATAACGAAGGGACCACTAATTTTAGTTCGTTATAAACGTAGTTCGTTATAAGTATTTCAACTAAAATATACAGCAAATGTCCGGGACCTAAAAAACAGTTCGTTATATCTGTTAGTTCATTATAAGCGTGTTCGTTATAAACGTAGTTTACTGTACAGGGAGTGAGAGATATAGGGAAAACAGAGACAGATGAAATGCTTGGTCAACCCGGCTCCACATCACTATCAGTTTTAAATAATTTCATCACCACCATCCTCACCTGCAGCAACAGGTGCCACCCCATCTCCACCCTTCTGAACCCTCACCCGACCCACCCACATCATCACACTTACCCCCCTTGACGGAGTACAGGATAACGTAGATATTATACACACTCTGTCTTGATGAGTACAAGATAATATTATAATACACTGCTTGAGAAGAACGTCATATACTTTCTTTCTCAGCAATATTCCAGCTATATGACGGCGGTCTGTAAATAATCAAGTCTGGACCAGACAATCCAGTGATTAATATCATGAGCATCGATCCACGCAGTTTGGATCGATGACATGCATCAACCAAGTCAGCGAGCCTGACCACCCGATCCCGTTAGTCGCCTTTTACGACAAGCAGAGTCACCTTTTACGGCAAGCATGGGTTGCTGAAGACCTATTCTACCCGGAATCTTCACGGGTCAGAACGTTATATACACGTTGATGAGTACAAGGGATTACAAACTGCCGGGCTAAAGAAAGTATACATCTATGTTTGATGTTGGCTAAAAATGAAACAAACAAGAAATGGTTATGCGATAGGAATGTATTTGATACGGGTATCATAGTTGTGTTTTGGACCTTAAGGTTCAGCCTAGTAACGTTTTGGTTAATTTTGTCATTTTTGGTCAAATTAAATTTTCAAGTGTATACTTTCTTTTGAATGCAGTTTATTATAATACATTGTCATGCCAAGTACAGGTGAACAGTATACATACACGGCCAGTAAGATGATTCCCAGGAGCAGGAGGATGAGAGACAGAGACAGGATTGCCACAAGGACCTTGTGAGGTAGAATCCAGTCCTGCCCCCTGTAGCATCTCGGCTGTACCTGGACATACGACATCGTCGACGGTATCCTCACCAACCCACGTCACGGAACTGTCACAGACTATTATTATCCTTCACAGTGGTCACACGTCATGGAATCTCCATATAAAAAAACAAAAAACATTACACGGCGGAATTGAGTCCGCTGAAGAAACTTGCTGAACACCTGTGTACGGCGTTACGACCGCTGGGCGCTTGTCCAATAACCCACGTAACGAGCGTGTTGTGACCAGGTAGGGAGCATCACATTACAACAACATGAACAGCGCCATTCAACACGACAACATAATATCACTCAGTTGTGGCGATCTTCGTCAGTCCTTGTGTTTACACGCGAGGGATGAATCTTGTTTCAAATTATCCGATACGAGCATGCCTTGCCGACACAACCCGCCACCTGTCTGAAGAACTTCGCTTATACTTCCGTGTATCTCACAATGTCGAGATGCCCGGCTCAAGCTCCCAACTCCTCTCTCCCTCCACCCTCGCGCCACGGGCCCTCACCTGCCTCCCGTGGAGACTGGGTTTATTGACCTGAATCTCCCGCCTCCTGTCCGCCGTCCGTCTCAACGCTGACCCTCCGGTCAATCCGACTCGCCTCTGCTATCACCAATATAACGATTACCGTCAGCCCGGCGCTGGCTTCCTGCACACAAGGAATAACTCCCCACACTGCCGACTCGTCTTGGTAGATCACGTGACGAAAAGAAAGTGGTAGTTAGAAACATGATCCTGATGAAGAAAGCTTGCGGGTCCTTACAGAGAGAGAGAGCAAACTTATCCTTGACTCAGGGGCGGCGGTTATACAGCCTCAGCAGTACTAAGTCATAGCAACAGATGTACCCGCGTCTATTGTGTCATAAGTTTTATAAAAGTTTCGGTTTCTTGGCGCTAGTCAAGCTTACATCTTTTACGTTTGTGTCATACGTCCTGGTAAAGAGGGACAGTGGCGTACCCCCCCCCCCCCCCCCCCCCCCCCTCAACCCCCACCCCCACACACCCCATCGTGCCATACTGCTGATAGTGAGGGGGTGGAGGTTCTATAGGAACTGATTCAAGCTGACAGCACACGGGACAAAAATGCAAGGGCGGGGAATTCTTCTCGTGAAATGGCTATACATAACGTAATGATACATTCCCGACTGATTACATTTTAATGGATTGTGTGTGTTGTACGTGTGTTCAGTGTGTGATGCTGTGTGAACAGATGTGTGTGTGTGTGTGTGTTAGTTGGTGCATTCGACTGAGGGCTTATCTGCATTATGAATCTGTATTCGACTGAGGGCCTTATCTTCATTGTGAACCTATATTCGACTGAGGGCCTTATTTTCATTATGAACATGTATTCGACTGAGGGTCCTATCTTCATTATGAACCTGTATTCGACTGAGGGCCTTATCTGCATTATGAACCTGTATTCGACTGAGGGTTCTATCTACATTATGAACCTGTAATCGACTGAGGGCCTTATCTGAATTATGGACCTGTATTCGACTGAGGGTTCTATCTTCATTATGAACCTGTAATCGACTGAGGGCCTTATCTGAATTATGGACCTGTATTCGACTGAGGGCCTTATCTGAATTATGAACCTGTATTCGACTGAGGGCCCAATCTTTATTATGAAATTATATTCGACTAGAAAGCACAACCTGGATTATAAACACACACACATACATGCTTATATGTATGACATCAATATATGACATCAATAATCCAGGTCAGGTGTACATTAGTCTATTGAAGGATCACAGCTGTCACAGGGCGGTACATAAATGCTGTAACGAGTCGCGTTATTCAGGATCAATAGAGTGGCGACTTCACCATCCTCCTGTATGTCAGTCATTCCCGGGGCCATCACTTCTGGATATACCGGTATTAAAATGAGGTTGGTTGGTTTGTTGTTTAACGCCGCACTCAGCAATATTACAGCTATATGACGGCGGTCTGTAAATAATCGAGTCTGGACCAGACAATCCAGTGATTAATATCATGAGCATCGATCCACGCAATTGGGATCGATGACATGCATCAACCTTGTCAGCGAGCCTGACCACCCGATCCCGTTAGTCGCCTTTTACGACAAGCATAGTCACCTTTTACGGTAAGCATGGGTTGCTGAAGACCTATTCTACCCCGGAATCTATTAAAATGAGGACACCACTAACATGTATTCATAAATAGAAATGATATACCATAAGAAGAACATATGCATGTGTTTTTGCAGATGCAGATGTTAAACCACCACAAGAACCCGATCTACATGTTTTTGATGGTTTGTTTGTTTGTTGTTTAACGCTGCACTCAGTAACATTCCAGCTATATGACGGCGGTCTGTAAATAATCGAGTCTGGACCAGACAATCCAGTGATTGATATCACGAGCATCGATCCACACAATTGGGAAACGATGAACATAACCGCGTCTGGGCCAGACAATCTAGCGATTGATATCACGAGCATCGATCCACGCAGTTGGGATACGATGACATGCATCAACCAAATCAGCGAGCCTGACCAACCGATCCCATTAGGCGCCTCTTACGACAAGCATGAGTTGCTGAAGACCTATTCTAACCCATCTGCCCGAGGCAAGAGCGTCCATTAGCCTTTTTTATTAAAGTCTTATTTCCACCTTTGCCACATCAAGCCCGCGTTCCTGTGTTAAACATGATTGGACTATCGCATATATCGATAGCCCAATCAGAGATCGGTTCACATATCAACATCCACGACGGGTACACCTTCGAATGAAAGTGATTTACCGCTGCCTGTCTTTGTTGACACGTATACGTCTTTTTCATCTTTTACCCCCCCCAAAAAAACCAAAAACCAAAAACCAAACAAACGATTTTCTATGTTTTTGTGTCAGGGAAATCGATTGTGAAATCGCAAATGTTTTCGTTATCTGATCGACGAGGTCGTCGCCTATGGGAGTCGCCATTTTTGTGAAACTATACGAGATAAGAACAGCGATCTGATTGGATATCGCGTTTTCATTACAAGGGGCACAACTCGTGATCTACGCGAGGTCCCTGATCCAGGATCGAGCCAAGAAAAGTTGCCTTGGTGTGGCGAGGGTTGAAACTAGTCTTTGATATAGGCTAGTGGACACGATTGCCTCGGGAAGATGATTCCATCTACATGTTCTTTCAAGTAAGGTGGTTAAACCAGAACATCATCGACATGCAATTGGAACTAAAGTGGTTAACCAGGGCACTACCTACATGTTAATGTAAGTCCCACGTAACTGAGTTATTTTCCAGTAGATTTCATGTTAATTTGTTTGGCAGTTGTTTAACTACTGCTGGATTGAAGGAAGTTCTAAGTGTCTCCTAGTCTACACGAGAGGTGAGTGTTGTGAAGTGGGAGCTCTTCAGCTGCTGCTGGGTTCCTGCCACGTGCTGGTCGTTATATAAGGGAGGGGATGCGTTACTAAATCCCAGAACCAGCCAGCGAACCACTACACCGCCTGTAGAACGATGTGACATGACCAATCATCACCTTTCTCCCTTGAATGACCTGCAAGAATACCACTCGCCCCTGTGTTTTTCTTAAAAGACATCTAGCTCACAGTTTTCAATAAAATAATATCCACTTTTGTAGCCGTAGCTGAATTAATATCTATTCTTGATACAAAATCCCTCGTGGCCATTTTTGAGACTGGGTTCCGTCTGAGCGCAAACGGGCATAGCTAAAAAAATGTTCACCTTTTAAACACATCGGGTTTTTACGGTAATATTTAGTATGATTGAACACATTTAATTGTATCTTGGGCATATGTTTAGATGCAAGACATACATAAAATTATAAATTATTCCTGATGGATTCTTCGACCGAAGTACCTGAAGTCATACGCGCATTCTGATTGGTTTGTCGTATTTTCACACATAACATTCCTCGATAGAGGAACGAGTCTTCTTGTCCTGTTTCGGACTGCCCCGGAATTACACGAATGGTCACGAATGGTGCACATGTTGCAACTATTCTTGTCCCTGAATAACGAGTTTTCGCAAACAACCTATCATTGGCCAGGTAGGTTAACTCGATCCAAAATACGGAGAATCCTTAATACACCACGTTTTGAAATGAAGGGCAGACGACTTGTCAAACTGTTCACATCTTCTGTTATTGTCGGGATTGTACAATGGGGTCCCTCTGAAATCTTTCTTATGATTATGGAAATTATTTTGTCGCTAATATTTAGATGCATAGGTAATTCCAGAAAAAAATTAATCAACGTGTTGGCATTTCCACTAATTGGGTTTGTCAACCCGAAATCCTGGCTTTTGTTTTGATAAACAAAGTTTATTAATATGCGTTTTATATTCAGCTTTTATATTTCCACTTTTATCTAGACGATCGAAACTCCCACACTATAAACAAATTGAGTGAGTGAGTGAGTATGGTTTTACGCCGCTTTGGGCAATATTCCAGCAATATCACTCCGAATTACACCAGAAATGGGCTTCACACATTGTACCCATGTCGGGAATCGAACCCGGGTTTTCGGCGTGACTAGCGGACGCTTTAATCACGAGGCTACCCGACCGCCCCCTATAAACAAAGACAGTCTTGTGAAGCAGAGCGAAAAAGGGCCGGTTCTCGTTGATGACGTCTTTTAATGTTTGTTGTCGTATCTTCAGAGTGGCACCATGACTGTCCATCAACACTTTTGGTGTTGATTTATGCCACACTGAAGATATATTATTCTAATACTAATACATTCAATGTAAGTTATTTTATGTGTGTGTGTTTTATGCGATTATCTATTCCCTGATTCCTACACCATAACACCCCCCCCCCCCCCCCCCCCCAAACACCCCCCCCCCTAACTTTCTGTGCCCACGCCATGCACAAATGTCAGATATATACATAGTGCTTTCCACCGTAGGGGTTGGAATTGGAGGCCACTAACGGGGTCGGGTGGTCGTGCATGTCATCGTATCGACTACAGACATAAAGTTTGAATATTGCTGAGCGTAGCGTAAACAACATACCAACCAATAAACTTCGTGCTTTCGAACAGAACAGCTGGTTGAGACGGTAGGATTTTACGAACGCCTCTTTGAATTAATAGATGTTATGCACACATTTTAAAGTTTCGAAACATCTACAACGCTCTTTTCATCGCTCTTCACAATGCACTAATCGCTTTTACACTGTGAAGTCTATTATTCATGCGTCAATCGCTTATTACAGGATAACCATATCGCTTGGAGAAGACGCTCTGTTCGTAAACATTGACATACAGTTGTTTAAGCACCCGTAAAATATACATATACGTGCTCGTTATTTCCGCTGTGAAAATAACCACATTATAAAATATGATCGTGGCATGTGTATTAACACAAAAGATATTTGTCTGGGTGATTATTTGTGGATTAACACGCGAAGTTATTTGGCTAGATGGTAGTGTGTGTATTAGTGCAAAAGTTATTTGACTAGATGGTAGTGTGTGTATTAGTACAAAAGCTATTTAGCTAGATGGTAGTATGTGTATAAGTACAAAAGTTACTTGGCTAGATGGTAGTGTGTGTATAAGTACTAAAGTTACTTGGCTAGATGGTATTATGTGTATTAGTATACAAGTTATTTGGCTAGATGGTAGCATGAGTATTAGTACAAACGTTATTTAGCTAGATGGTAGTGTGTGTATTAGTACAAAAGTTACTTGGCTAGATGGTAGTATTTGTATTAGTACAAAAGTTATTTGGCTAGATCGTAGTATGTGTATTAGTACAAAAGTTATTTAGCTAAATGGTAGTATGTGTATTAGTACAAAAGCTATTTGGCTAGATGGTAGTATGTGTATTAGTACAAAAGCTATTTAGCTAGATGGTAGTATGTGTATTAGTACAAACGTTATTTAGCTAGATGGTAGTATGTGTATTAGGACAAAAGTTATTTGGCTAGATG